AGCAACAAGAGGCCTTAACACTCTTTCTGTCCCTTTTATTTTATTCAGACTACTCAGAGCAGGTAGCACTCACACCCTTACTCCTAGTGCCCTTGGGTCTAGCCCCACCATGAATCAATCATGAACTCTAGATTCAGCCACCTCCAAAATAGCCTATGACCACATGAAGCTTCGGGGGAATATCTAAATACAAACCATAACAAGCTTGAAGCAGTAATAAAAGGTATTAGTATAAACAATGGCTTCCTGAACAGGACTCCAACAGCTCAGGAAATAATAGCAAGAATTAACAAGTGGAATTATATCAGACTTAAAAAAAAATCTTCTGCACAACAAAGGAAACACCAGGATGAAAAGATAGCCTACAGAATAGAAGAAAGTTTTTGCCAGCTATTCATCTGACAGAGTTAATGTTCAGAATATATAAAGAACTAAAAAAATTCAACACCAAAAGAACAGGTAATCCAATTGATAAATGGGCACATGAGCAGAATAGATATTTCTCCAAAAAAGTACAAATGGTCAATAATTATATGAAAAAAATGTACAATTCTTTATGCACCAGAGAAATGCAAAACAAAATTATACTGAGATTCTGTCTCCCCCTAGATACAATGGTTATTATCAACAAAACCAAAAATAATAAATGCAGGCAAATATGAAGAGGGAAAAGAACACTTACACACTGGATAAGAATGTTAATTAGTACAGCCATTATGGAAACAGTATGGAGATTCATCAATGAAACAAAAAATAAAATTACCATATGATTCAGCTATACCCTCTCCTGGGTTTTTACCCAAAGAATTCAAAGTCAGCATACAAAAGAGATACCTGCATACCCATGTTTATCATGGCACTTTTCACAGCAGCCAAGTTATGGAATCAGCCTAGATGCACATCAACTGATAAAGACAAGGATAAAGAAAATTTGTATGTATACAAAGAAGTACTATTCAGCCATAAAGAAGAATAAAATCACGTGATTTGCAGGAAAATTAATGAACCTAAAAATTATGGTGTTAAGGAAAATAAACCTGATTCAGAAGATAAGTACTAAATTTTTCCTCATGTGGATTCTAAAAAGACAAAAAAGATAACAAGAAAGAAGGAAGTCAACTAGGGAAGAGAAAGAGACCAGGGATCTGAGAGTAAAGAAAGTAATAGGGAAAGTGGATGCAATGGAAGTATATTATTTACACATATGCAGATACCACAAAGGAACATTATATTGTTCAATTAGTATGTGCTAATAATTATAATTTTGAGGGTGGTACCAGGGATGGAACCCAGGACCTTGTGATTGCAAGGCAGGAGGCAGCACCACTGAGCTAAATCCCTAGCCCTAGTAATTACATTTTTTAAAATAACAAAAAAGGTATAATTTTTATATCACTTAAAAAAAAAGAGGACTGGGGGTGTAGCTCAGTGAACAGTGAATGCCTACCATATGCAACACCCTAGGTTGGAACCTCAGCACCACAAAAAAGAACAATAATAATAATAAATTTTAAACGTTTAAAAAGTAATAAAAAAATCTTTAAAAATATACTTTCTTACATACAGTTTTATGCTACCTACACCTTTTTTTAAAAAGTTATCATTTATCAATGTTCTAGAATTTAAGTTATGCAGAAAAATTTAAATTATATCTTATTAACATATGAACTTGAGCTAATTTACAAAGCGGATATGGGCCAGGAAACATATAAAACATTTTTTTAAGCAACTGATAGGCTATATAGCCCTTCCACTTCATTATAATCTGATTTTTAGTTAGTGAATTAGAAAATTAAATCTGACATTGTTGAACATTAGTTTCATGTCTCAAAAAATCACAAAAAACAACCAGATGCACTGAGGACTGAGCCCAAAATCGCCACTATCTCCTAAAATAGTGGATATACTTGCTCCATACCCTCTGCAAACCCTATTTCCTATCTTTCTGGTCCTATTCTAATACTTGTATACAAATTATGTTATAGAAGGAATTGGTAAGTGACACACAGAAAGGCGCAGAATGGAAGTAAAATAAGAAAAAAGTTTGTTTTCTCGACAAAGGTTGATCACACCTAAAAGCAGTGCCCAGGATCAACCACACATTGGGTTAAAACTCCTTTTATAGGGTTTTACAGCCTTGATCTCATTCAGATGGTTACATTTCATTCTCTCAGTTCACATTACAATATACAAATCATGGTGACAAGACAGTTAACTTTCAACCCAGATGTAGCAATTCTTTGCAAGAAGATTCACCTAGCTCTCTATCCTACCCCATAGGAAGAGCGGTGCTCAGGGTCAGGAAAGCAAATGCTAACAATGGCTCTTTTCATCCTGACACTTTTACAATCATGTGGTTTACAGAACTTCAGAGCTCAGGGTATGGCCATTATCTCAGGATAAAGCCAAATGCCTCATTCAGTGGTTAATGTCTCTGGTGTCTGTTAATTCTGAGCTCAACAAAGCAGACTGCTGTAAGAGACAGTAGAAGCCATTCTACATTGTGACATTTGTAGGTTTTGCTATTTACAGAAGTTTTCTCTATCAATTATATAGAAATTTATCCAAAGTTAATTCATAATGGTGAAATCCAAATAAGAGTGAGAAAACTGTATTTCACCATTAACAACTATTCAGGTAGCTAGTTATGTGTGGCTACATTTTATCCTCCAAAAACATCAAGCTCAAGACAAGGATAGCCATACATATGAAGTTCACATTTAAAATGTCGAAAGGAAATAGATGAATTTGAACCACCAGTTCAAACACCTTCATTTAAAAGCACCCCCATGATCATTCAGCATGTGCAGGGAAAAAAAACTATAACATACAAAATACACTATTCTGATGTGGGCAGGAGACGTAACAGTATATTGAGAATGAGTTTTTGACTAGAAAAGAGCATGCAAACTCATGCCTTTGTCACTAGAGGTAGTTTGAGAACTCAAGCTTTATAATTAACCTCAAAATCTACAAACATATCTTAAGTTTTTGAAAATTTGAAGCAAAAAGACTCTTCTTCTAATATCTTACTTTAAAGTAGTCATAACAAACTTCCAGTATTGTATTTTGGAGAATTTAACCTTGCCATTCCTCATCTAACACAGGAAGCAGGGAGAGAAGTTGGTGGTGTAGTTGTGGTACAGCACTTGCCTACCATGTGCAAGGCCTTGGATTCAATCCCTAGCACTGCAAAGGAATGGTAATTTTTGAAAGTTGCATACTATTTCTAGGGTTGGGGGGAGAAATTATCAAAAACAATTTAAGGGTTATTTCCTTTCCTACCCATAGGCAGTGAGTTAGTAGTTCTGATGAGCTATGCACCCAGAAGTCTAAACATTAAGTAGCTTATGTAATTGGTGATAAATACACAGAAGAGAATCTGCATCTCTACAATCAGTGAAATATAAATTTTCAATGAGTGTTGCAACGTGAAATGTTATGTTCAACTTCAGTTTAAATTAACCAAATGCTATAAATGTTTACTTCAATTAAATGGTAGAAATATGGTGTGATAGAAAAGAAACAAAAGCTTTAGAGTCAGAGAGACAAGGGTTCAAATCAAATATCCGATCAGTGCTGGTGAACCTATAGCATGCATGCTGCAGTAGACTGTCTATCACTGAAAGCTCTCAAAGGTTCGCTAGTCTAGGTCATTACTTAACTTTGGACAGGTCAACTTCTCTGAGGCTTTGACTTTTCATCAATAAAGTGAGGATAAGTATCCCATAGTCTCTAATAGTTCTGTACACGTGAGACAAAAAATGTGCATCAATCATCTGGCTCGTGCACTGTCACAGAGCAGTGCTCCATCACCTTCACTGTCTCTCCACCCCTTTCTCCCAAGTGTCAGAATCTCTCCTCCAGACCACGCCCAACACTCAGGGGTATGTTGGTCAACATGTCACTTGCTCTGCCAAGGGAAAAACCTGGTCTTTAGTGCTGGCTGACGTCTAATACCAACAACATACCCACTATGGATGGTTTCCAAGTGCAAGGCTGTAAATGAATACAACAGCACAGCACAGTCTCACTCTTTCCACATATTTCTACCTTTTGAATTAACCTTGCTATACTATTTAGACCTTGGTTGTTGGTCTCTCCTGACAGGAAAGCAAGCACTACAAAAGCAGGTACTTTGGCCCATGCTCAGTCCTCTGCAAATACAAAGGCTAAGTGACTGGAAAGTTTCCCAAAAATCAAGGAAACTCAAAAGTACGTTTTTGGGGTGTTTTGGAGGGTTGGTTTTGGTTTTGGTTTTTTGAGACAGGGTCTTGCTGTGTAGTTAAGGCTGGCCTTAAACTTATAGCAATCATCCTGCCTCAGCCTCCCAAGTGCTGGAATTACAGGTGTACACTACCATACCTGGTTTAAAAAGACTAATTCATATAAAACATTCAATCTCAATTTCAGTAGCATGTATCCTACTGTTTGGAAAAGGAAGAACAAATATAATCAGTAAATAATTCAATTAAAATAGCAGGCTACTTTGTCCATATCACCTAGAGCAGTTAGTCAAAATAAGCCAGACACAAGAACTTCCAACATAAACAACAGTATTTATAGATGACCAGATGGAACACCACACTGATGATATAACCTAAGGCCAGCAATCTTGCCATCTCTAAAGGTTAAGACAGTTATTTCAGCATTACAGGAAGAGAAACAAATACTCCCTTATAGCCAGGTATGATAATGCACACCTGTAATGCCAGCACTCCGGAGGCTGACGCAGAATAGCTGCAAGTTTGAGCTGACCCTCGGCTATACAGTGAGATCAAGACCGTGTGAACTACGGAGGCAAATCCTGTCTCAAAAAACAAACAAGGAAGGGGATTTAGCTCAATGGTGCCACCACCTGCCTCGCAAGTGCAAGGTCCAGAGTTCAATTCCCAGGATCAAAAAACAAAAAAACAATGACAAAAATATTACCACATATTACCATCTGTTTTGTTAACCCAGCCTGTAGGCACACCATCCATACCTCAAATTTACTTTACCTGCATGAATTAATATCTGCAAACATTCTACTGAGTTGTGATAAGCTGCTTCATGAATTGGCATCCATCCCCTGTTATCAGCAACATCAATGCTTCGGCCCTTTTTGAGCAATTTCCTTAAGAGTTTAACATTGCCTTCCCTGGCAGCAAGTCCAACCGCAGAGCATGTATCTGAGTAAGCCTCTGTAAAATCCATTATTTTTTTTGACCAATCTACAAAACAAAGTAGAAACATAATGCAATAGTCAATAAAACAACACTGCACGCTCCTAGAAATTAGCAGATCACAGTGGCCTGTCCAGTATCTCCCCCATGATTGCAGAGACATGGTTATCCTTGCATAGATTCTGCTATAGCCTAAACCAGGAAGTCTCTCAAATCAGTATTTCTTGGAATGTTCTTACTTTTAAAAAGGGAATTTTTTAAAGTGTTCTTTGCTGCTCTGGAAATATCTGAGAAGCTCTTTCCAGCAGGCTTTTGCTTGGGTTTCTTCCCCACCAAAATATACTCTTTGGAGCTCTGTCAATAAGAGTGCAAAACACTTCTAGTTAATCTCAGGTGTATGCTCTCTTCAGCAGAGAGGTGACATAATGACCAAAACTGCCCCATTTCTATGCAGAGGCCTCCATGTTAAACCCAAAAGCTAAAAAAGAGGAGTAAAGGATGTTTATTGACAACAATGTAGTCATTCTAGTTTTCCCACCCCAGTTGGTCCTTTCCAGAAGGACTAAACACTCAGATACTCCATCCTTAATGAACTAGTCCAGCTGACTAAATACTATACTGAAACCAACAAAGAGCAACCACAAAATGATGAGCCCAGCTTTTCCACACCAGCCGACAAAGTTCTTTACAGCATTTCTGCCCTCATCATCATCATCACCCTCCCCGAAATGTTCACTTCAAGTTTCCCTGAAGTCAGAGTCCAGAACAGCTTCAGTATATAACTTTCACAAAGATAATTTGTTAGTGACACTATGAAGCAGGTTGGGCTGAGATTTTGGATTCTCGGGAAAATATTTATCTACTAAAAGAGATCCTTCTCAATAATACGCCAATCCCAGTTTTGAATTTTTCTAATGACCTTAGGAGGTGGTTTGCCAACATGGATAGCCCAATATAGGTGAAAAACATCCCAGAAACACATTTTAACTAATTTATCTGAAAAAGGAAGGTTTGAGGAAAGAGGTTAAAACAAAGCGTGTAACATTGTCCCCATAGTAAATTCAAACTTATCCATGTCTCCTTTAAATGAAAAGCCAGAAATACAAAAGTTGGTTCTACAGGAGGCCAAACAGCTGATGGTAGCTCCGGATATGAATGATCAACTAGTTCATTACTAGAGTAAGTCAAAACATTTACTTACTAAACCTTTATTCAGTTAGCAGTTATTTATTAAGCGCCAACTAGATGATCAGTAATGGGGAAAAAAGATGACACAAATACAGATTCTAACTCGTTTTTTACACTCTCATAGAAATAAATATGTATATATAAAATATATGTAATTCAAGGTAGAAAATGGATTCGAAAATGGCACAACGGGCAGAAGAGCATTTCTAGGCAGAAAGAAAGCCATAACCAAAAAGCTGGAGATGCATAATATGTAAGAGTAAGGGACAGTGAATACAAAACAGTCCATCTAGCAAAAGGACTGGGTAAACAAGGAACAGCAGAAAATTACGTTATAGAAATCTCTCAAAAGCCAAATTTCAGAGGATCTTGAATGTCCAGCTATAATTTTTTGAGCCATGCTAACCCGTAGCCAAGATAATTACATGTAAGTTTTACAAAACAACAAATTACACACTTTATGGCAATTAATAAATATATTCACTTAATACAAGAAAACTTTTTCCTAAAGGAAAAAATGGAAACAAAGGGGAGGGAGGGCTGGAGAGGTTGAAGGAAGGGCCAGGGAAAGGGGAAAAATAAGAACTAAAATGTATCATGTACAGGTACAAATTCCCAATGATTAACGTCATCATATTGTACACCTAAAATGTACCAATAAACAATAAATAAAAAACTTTTTCCCATACTGGAAGCAAACAAAGAAAATCACTTTAAAAACACCATTTCTGTAAAAATAATATTGCTGAACGCAGGATAACAGATACTAACCTGGGGAAAATACTGGAACTGGTAACATCTTTGAGCTTAAGGGAAGAGGAGGCCACAAGAAATGTGCTGTGACAGCAAGAACATCCCTTTCAACTCGTAATAACAACTAGTAAACATAAACTGTTTATGATACAATATCCCCTTTTATAAAAAGTCTAAACAGGAACAGTGAGTCAAACAAATGTGACACAGGGAATTGGGGTGTAGCTCGGTAAAAAGATTGCCAACCTGCCAGGCGGACCCCGAAGAAATTCTAGGCTCCCCAATTTGTTTCCAAAGCTCTCATGAGCCTCAAGTTAAGAATCTTGCATCCTCTTTTCTGAAGGGGCTGCAGAGAAAACTAAAAATGCATAAGCTGTTGCGTGTTAAATTCAAATATGCCAACAGTTTCTAGTGACTTAACAGTCCAAAAGCCAGAGGGGATCGCACTCTGACCACAGTCATACAGGCAAACGTCAGATCCAAAGCCGCCTGACCCTGTAAGGCCCGGGACACACCGGATGGCCTAGGGTTCCCAAGGCTGCAGAGCTGCCCACAGATCCCTATCTGGTCCGTAACTAAGCCTGGCAGCTGAAGGACTAGCGCACTCAGCGAGAGCCCCAGGCACGCCCGGCGTGCCTTGCGCGGCGCCTGCGCACAGCAGCCGCTCTGTTCTTGTCCCTCGGTCCGGAAGCGGGGGTGCCCGAATCCACTACTTCGGTAGTCTGCCTGCCTGGGAGGCGGACGCCCCCAGGGCGCAGAGCCTCGCAGGGACGCACCCACGAGCCGGAAAAATGTGGGTGTTTGGTTACGGGTCCCTGATCTGGAAGGTGGATTTCCCCTACCAGGACAGGCAGGTCGGATACATCACGAACTACAGCCGGCGCTTCTGGCAGGGTAGCACCGACCACCGAGGGGTCCCGGGCAAGGTAAGCACCCCGCGCGCTGGGACCCCCACGGTCCGGGTAACGCGGGAATATCCGTGCATCGGCCACAGTCCCTGACCCACACCTCTCCCACACCAGCGCACTCCTGAAGCCGCTTCAGATGACGGTGATTAGTTTTCTAGGGGTGGCGAAAAGCGTGGCACAAGTCTGATGAACCGGAGGGAGCAACCTCAGCCAGAAACAACTGTGATGGGAAAATTAATTTGCATGTCATCATGGGTGAAATATTAAAATTAACCTGAAAATTTAGAGTCCCAGGAAGTGTTCATTATGCTAAAGTGGTTTGAGTTTAAATACGATTTTATTTATGACACCTAAGAGCACGAAGAACTATTTTCCACATTTATCTCCGGTTCATTAAGATGACGTTGATAATTTTGATCAGGTACTAAAAAAGTTAAATTCTCAGTTTGTTATGAGTAACAGTGCCAAACTAGCATTATTTAAGGCTTCTTGCTTCTTTTTAAATAGTTCTCCTAAATTATGTTAAATATGTTTTTATCTATTTTTCAGTCATACAAAGACATTCGTCTCGATATATGGGTTCAGAGATTTAACAGCAGCTCATTGTTTATGCTAATCAGTCTTCTATTGGCTGCTATACTACTAATCATGGAACTGAGTGGCTAGCAAGACAGGCCCTGGGTATTATCCCCAGTACCACGAAAGAGTTTGGGGTAATTAGTAACTTGGATATCCTGGAATACTTGTTATAGCTAATCTATCTTTGTTTATTTATTTCCTTTCTTTCTTTCTTGGAGACAGGGTCTTTGTAGCTAGCTAGCTATTGTTTCTGTTTGTTTATTTGAGACAAGGTTTGGCTTTGTAGCCCAGGCTGGCCTCGAACTTGAAGTGATCCGCCTGCCTTGCCCTCCAAGTACTGGGAATCACCGCACTTGGCAGGGCTAATCTTTCAGAGAAGCACTTTGGTGTGGGGGAGTCCGGGGATCGAACTCTACTAGGGTCCTTGTGCTTGCTTGCAAGGCTGGCAGGCGAACCACTGAGCTAAATCCCCAGCCCGAGAAGCACTTCTGTCTTGCTTATGTGTTCTCTAAAGAAACTGTGAGCTTGATTATTGTTTTTAAAATAGAAATTAATATTAGCCCCAAAACATAATGTCTAAAATACTGGAATCAGATGCAGGCAAAGTCTATGGTTAATTCCAGAGAAATACCTGCAGTCATGGAAAGGGAAAGAGATTAAGGTTCTAAAATAGTTTGCACCTACTCAAAGATATAGGATTTGAAATCATAAAAAGATTCTACCTCAACTAGAGTTGGTCAATTAAGAAGTTCTCTGTAAGGTTAAGACTACTGGCCTATGGAAAAGGACAGAATGACTTGAACAAGGAGACGTGCCTTACCGCTGATGCATTAGCCAAACTATCTCGAAGAACAAACATTATTCAAGACTTTACAGAACTAAGCTAAATAAAAGTGCTTACAAGTTGTTTTGAAATGCACACTTAAAAGTGCAATTCTGAAAAGAAAGTTTAGCCCAAGCTCCCATTTTAATGACCAAGTATTCATATTAAATATGTATATGGTTATAATAGCTTATTTTACTATTCTAGGCTTAACCAAAATGCATGTTTGCTACATAGCACATTGAGATACTTATGCTTTCAGACAGATAAGTTGTCTAACTAATACAATTCATGAGTCTTTAAAAGGACAAGGGAATGCAAAAGCCATTATCTTTTTATACTTAAATTTACTGAAATATAGGAAAGGAGAATTGGGGAAGGAACTGTACTGGCTAACAGCTTTACACATCTACTTAAAGACTCCATCTTAGCAAATTAAATTAAAAACTAACAGTAAACATTTTGCAAATATAGGGTTGTTTTTTAAAAATCTAGAAATAACATCAAAATTTTTTACTTTGGGTTTTTTATTAAAATAGATTGCCAGCTGTATATAAACATTAATTAGACAAACAAGAATACAAAGGCTACATACAGAAATATCCAGCAAATTAGAATTAACTTAGATACTGTTTAGGACCCAAGTTTTTTACAGCAACATATACTCAAATGAGTCATCAGAAAGGCCTCATCAATAATATA